AAATAAACATTAAAAATTGAATATTAATAGATTATAATATGTGAATATAAATATATTTTATTATTATTAAAATAAATTGAAGATCTCCGGAGTTTAATATAGTAATCTTCACTCCAGAGTCTTTTAATGACGATGGAGGTCCTCCGAAGATCTACATCCAAAGATCTTTGAAAATCTTTACTAAAAAATTTCCTGATGGAAGCTATAGACCCACAGGCAAATTATAATAGCAGCACTATTAAATCACAAGTCTTTATCTCAGCTCTAAAAGGGTATTAACCATCCAATACTAAAACTAATCCGAAGTACACTAAATGTAACTAGGATAGGGATAGTTAATATTGTAAATAGGTTAACATTAATTTATAAACTTAATTTTGTAAAAATGTTTGATGTAATCCGTTTATGTTATATATATTAATAAAGTTTTGCATCTGATGCCCTTTTATGATATAAAAAAAAAAAAAAAATTTATCTATTATTAATATTGCAAATATAAAAATAATTATACATGTATCACAAAACATATAATATATTATTTTTGCTCATTTTTGACAAAGATCTGATAACTTATTTTGTATTATATAAATACTGTTACTGTCTTGGAAGAGCAAAATGAGAATTGTGCCAATTTAAACTTGTGGTGAATAGGATGTTTCTATGAAATAAAAGAAAATAGAAATAAAATAAAAAAAAATAAAAGAAAATATTAAAAAAAATATTAAAGAAAATCAAAAGAAGATGAAATTTACAACTAAATATATTAAAACTTTCAGTTTCTCACTTGACAGACTTCAAAATTACTGATAAAAATAATTTTCAATTCTCAATAATTTAATTTATTTAACATATGTTTTGTTTTAAACATTATTAAATAAATTAATATGAACAATTCAAAATTATTGTTTTAATTAATTTTACAACTCTGCCCTGATATTGGAATCAAAAGATAACAATATATAAATATTGAATTTCAATAGAAAACAATAGAAAAATATAAAAGATAAATATGAGATAAATATAATTTTATTAAAGAAAATACAAGAATTTAAAATTTTATAATTATGATAATTGTTCATTTCTTTTCTTTCTGCCCTCAAAGCTGAAGGAAAATTGAAGCCTTTTTATAATGTTTTGGTTAATTGTAAATTGTCTCTAATCTAATTATTTATGAGTGATTCATCTATTTATACAAAAGATTTGATTAAAGGATTATTTGTTATACTTAAGATAATCATCAAAGAAAATTCTTATCTATAATAGAAAAAGCGAAATTACTCAAAATATCAGTAAGACAATCTTTCTTGAAATCTTAACAAACGTTGTTCTTCCAGTATTTTCACAAATAGTTGCTTAGAACCTCAAAGAAGCTTCAGAACTTGGTTTTTGAGCTACAGTGCTCCGAATTTATTGCGCTATTCAAAACTATATAGGCATTTTGAGAATTCTTGGTGAAAAGAAGAAAATATTCTATAGAAAATATAATTAAAACTAATAAATTTTAATAAATTTTGATAATGTATAGTTGTATTTATCCAAAGTTAATAAAATTTTCAAAAATTTTAGTAACAATACATATAAATATAAAATTTTTTGTCATTTTTGTATTTTGTATAATATTAGAGTTAATTGATAATCAAGTTGTGAAAAAAAAAAAACATATGGCTCCCATTCAAAGAGCTCAAATATTGCTTTTGCTGCAAAAAGAATACATAACAAAAGCAATAGGTTGGGCTCATTATATTAGCTTCTCTATTGTCTTTCATATTAAAAAAAGGTGTTTTAAAACTATATACTTGAAGATTTAGGAAAGGTTGGTTATCCACCTTTATAGAGTAAACCAACCCAAAGAAAAATTGTAAATTTAATTACTTCTTGTCTTTGCTCTACTGCAGTACAAGTGGTTTCTCATTTGAAAAAAAAAGAAAATCTTAATATTTCAGCTTCTACTATTTGTCATATACTTCAGAAGCATAGTTTGGTATTAGGAATCAAAAGAAAAAAATCTTTCTTGAATACTAGTTATCAAAAAAAATGATTTGAATTTGCAAAAAAGTATAAAAATTGGTCTGTTAAAGACTGGTTTAAAGTAATTTGATCTAACAAATCAAGATTTCAAATTTTTGGATCTGATAACAAGTAATACTATTGGAAGTATTCTAAAAAACTATTAAACCAGTTTCATGTTAAGTTAAAAGTAAAGTACAAAATGGTTCAGTTATGATTTGAGGTTGTTTTACCTCTTGTGATATTGAAAGCTTTTGTAAAATCAATAGTATTATGGATGGTAAGTTATATACATGTGATATAAATTATTTTGCTATTGACTTAATTCCCAAAATCCTCAAAAATAATTGCATCATGACTCAATTATTTATATGTTTTAATAGTGACTCAATTAATTGCATCAAATAATTGCATCAATTGCATCAAGGATCTACAAATTTCAGCAACATGTACAGTATAGTAAGTTATATCAACAAATACTTCATAAAGACTTTATAGAAATTGTTAAAAATTATAAGTTTGATATTAGAGACATTATTTTTCAACAAGATAATGCCCTTTGTTATATTGTGATTTTAACTAAATGTTGATTTAAAAAAAATAGAGTAAAAACTTTTGATAATCTTCTTTATCACCTGATCTTAATCTTATTAAACATTTATAAGCTAAGATTGACTATTACCTTAAAAAACTTCCTGACAATATTTCAAGTGAAAAAAATCTCTAGGAAAAAATTCAAGTGATCTAAAAGCAAATTGATATTGAAATCTACATGAATCTAATTAGTTCAATGCCAGAATGAATCCATGAGATCATTAAAGCTTGAGGCAAATATATTATATAATAAAAGAAGAAAAAAATTAAATAAAAAATATGATCTGACGATTTTTTTTTTTTTGCTGCATTATTTATAATCGCCAGTGTAATTCATAGGTAATAACTTCCTAAGTTATACCAATGACGATCTTACTATTATAGGAATATGCAGTAAATATTTCACTTTGTACTTTGTCCAACGTAGGAATGCATTTAATAAAAAAGGAAAAAAATTAGTGACACGGATCGAAAATTTCCATTATTTATGGATAGCACCTTATTAAAAAAAATAGGAACCGAAAAAACTCTTAACAATTATATGATACAAAAAATTCCTGTACGCCTTCGAAATAATTATCCAGTTGAAATTGTTTATTCATTAACAATTGTAAATAATGGCATCTTTCTTTGCCAAAAGACAACTTGTTACCCTAATCTCTGCGCCAAACTGTTGTGATGAATTATCTCTTTAGATACGTAAAAAGGAGCCTTCATATATTTCCTGTAAATTACCTTTAATCTTCGAGATTCTCACTTCTTAAATTCTCAGGCCAGATCCGAAAACTTACTCAAAGTGTATATAATTCCTTTCATGTAGAATTCTTTGCTGGTCTGCCAATCAATAAGAATAAAAAATCTTTTTTTACGTACCGTGCATATTGATTGACGGAAAGATATGCACCATTAAAATATCCTTGACCACGTACTTATTACAATATAATACAGTACAAGTTGTGAGAGATTACTCATCGCCTACATTTCTCATGTTACGCTCCTTTATTCCAACGTCGAGAAAAATGTCTGTTCCTATTCATGATAAAGAAGATTTTTGAGTCTATAAAATTCGGGTTTGTTTGTTTTTTCAATAAGCATAGAAGTGACCCGCGAGCTTTTTGTACTCAATTCTTTCGGAAAACTATTACAGTACTGAGGTATCACAGATAAGTTTTATGCAACAAAGGATTTTTATTGCCCATTTCGTTTTACAAAGGTTTTTATGTAAACATATAAATAGGTTCATCTAAGGTGCACTGAGAGACAAAAAAAAGTCATGGTCTTCAAAAATAACCAAATTTCCGTTATTCATCGTTATAAAGTGTTATTTAGCATTTTACTCTTACACCTTGCATTTTTCTCTTGCTTTCTGTATTACTTCCCATACAAATGCGATGTTAATATCAAATCGTCATCACTCGCGGTGGACGATGCCCATATTAAAACTCCTCTGGGTGTTGATCCAAACGTAACAGTTTTTCTTGGAATTCTAACCGTTTACGAAAAGACTGAGATAAGGAATTACTTACGCGATATGTATAAGCATAGTAACGCTGCACTAGCACGATACCTTGGAGTTCAGGAATCCCCTATAACGGTTAAGTTTATTCTAGGGATTCCAAAGGACAAACGCGTAGATGGGATAAATGAGGAATCGAAAAAATACGGAGATATCGTTTTATTGAATATCACGGAAAATATGGAAGAAGGGAAGACTATAACGTTTTTCGATTGGTTCGCTGAGAACGCAAGTATTCTTGTTACATATTTATCCCATTATGATATATAGTAGGTCATTAATGCTTATATTTTTTATATTTAGCGAAAGGACGATTATATGTTGAAAGCAGACGATGATAGTTTTATCCACCTTATTCATTACTATCGCGACATTCAAGATTTGCCGAGAAAACTTACATATTATGGCTTATCACTAAATTATTCTAATACCGATGAATTAGGAGCAAAAGTCTACATGTGGGGTATGTTCTAACGAATAATATATCATTAGCATTAAACGCACTAAATTTTGGGGTGGATGTTTTTTATATAGGTATGGGATACACGATTTCCCGCGACCTCGTCGAGGACATCGTTAAATTTGATTGGGTTCGTTCAAATGTGATAGGCAGTGAAGATTATAATGTAGGCCGTTGGATGTGCAAGTTGTCCAGAGAAAAAAAATATTTATTACACTATGTTGGTTACCCTCATAGCCACGGGCTGGTTCGAAATTTTCCCGAAAACCCTTTCCACGATTTATATTTTGATCGTGGTATAAATGCGCATCGCTTCGTCGACGAGGCTATACTAATCCATCGGTTAGAGAAACTTGATGACATGAAAACAATTGTGGACTTGTATCTTTATAATGACGGTTTTCCAAAGATTAAGACCATTCGGAATTCGACAACTCCAGGTTTACTTACAAAAAAAGAGATTTTTCAAGGATGTTGGGTCATGGATCAAAAAAAACAAACCTGGGATCAAGCGCGTCATTGGACTTCATCACTAGATATCTACAAGAACTGGTTTTATGAAGCTTGGGGTTTCAAGGAAGGACAATGGTATGGTTATTTTGGGCCCAAGGGTGAGATATAATTTTAGAAATTTAAAATGATTCTTAAAGATAGTTTACATGCATTTATGATTTCGTGTGGGAAAAAATACATTATACACTCCCTGGCCAAAAGTTTAGGACCACTTAATAAAATTTAAATAATTGTAATTAATTTACTATTGATAGTATAATATAATAATTTTTTTTAAAAAATTAAAATACAAGTAATATATTTAATTAATATATAAAAAAAAATTTTTTTAAATTATTTAGTAGTTTAAAAAAAATTGTTTTTTTTTTAATATTTAAAGTATTACTAAATAAATAAATCAATTAATTTAATTTTAAATTAAAAATTTATTAAAATAATCATAAAAAAAATAAAGAAAAAAATTTAATAAACTTTTCATTAGGAAATTTTATAGAGTTATTTATTGATAGTCAGCCTATAATCATTAGTAATTGATTATAATTAATCAATATATATTGATAGTGTTGCTATATATCAATATACATATAGTATATAACAAAACTTTTTGGAATTTTTTTTAAAAATTTTAATATTTTAATTAATTGTAAATTAAATATAAAAAAATTTTTTTATTAAAAAAATATAATATTATATTTATTTTTAATTAATTTTTAAGTTTATTTTATTTGAATTTATGAATTTATAGAATTTTATATTTTATTTTAAATTTATAAAATTATAAAATTTCAAATAAAATTTTTATTTGTAATTAATTTTTAATACTTAAAAAATTTAATTTCAAAATTTAATTTTAAAAAATTTTAAGAAATCTTTATATATTAAATTTATATTACTTTAACTTTAAAATAGAATATATTAAAAAATTATTAAAATTATTTAAAATTATTTAATTGGGTTTTTTTTATTATATCTTAAAAAATAAATTATTAAATTATTAAATTATAAAAAATTTCTTATTTTTTTTTGCACCATACTATATATAATTATTTATTAAATATTTTTTTTTTATAAAAAACTTCTCAAATTATAATTTTTATTGATTGTTAACTTAGTATAAAATTTATAACAATAGTAATATATTGAAATATGTTGTTATAAATATTGATTTGTTAATAGATAAATATATTCTATAAAAATTATAATTTAAAAAATTTTTAGAAATAATTATTTACTAGATTAAAGAGTCAATATCTTTTTAATAATTTAGTTTTTTATTCAAATCTAATGAAAATAAGTTTTTAATTAATAAGATACTGTTAAAAAAAATACTTGAATAAAGGATATTGAAGTGAAAAATATAATTATTATTGATTTTGTTTGCTAGTTTTGTAATAATAAATAATTTTTTATTAAGTTAAATAAGATTAATTTTGGTTTTATTGTTTTTTTATTATAATATAATTTTAAAATTTTTTTTAAAAAATCATTTTTACTCCTAATCGTACCAAAACTATCAAATTAGGAAATATCAAGAAAACAAAAATTTCGTCTCAAGCAAAAAACAAGGAGGAGGGAGGCCCTCCTTCCAAACCTCCCAACCCAAACCATGAATACACTCTTCTCGATATAGTCCTTGCTGATAATAAACCAAGGTTTCTAAAAGTCTCGATAATTTACAAAAATAACAAAACTTCACAAATTTTCGTCACAAAACCTGCCAAAGAATTCCAAATTC